GGGCTGACGGGCGGGCTGGGGCTGCCAGGCGGGCCGAGGGCAGGCCCCGGACCGGAGTGGGTCGGGTTTGGGAGCTGCCGCATGACCAGGAAGGTGGCTGCGCAGCTATTCATGCCATGGGGGAAAGAGGGAATACGTTTGCTAGGGTGAAAAACAAGTTCCCAAACCAAAAACGAAACTAAGAAAACACATTCCACCCCCAAAAATAATCAAGTCATTAAAAAACGCACCGTGTCCATTGTTTCACGAAGAATCACAGAATACTGATTGGGAAAGACCTCTAAGATCGTCCGATTTAGGACCGAACACCACCTTGTCATGCAGGACGCCAAAACGGTGTCCCACAACCAGTCTTTCCTTAAACACCTCCAGGGACAATGACTCCACCATCTCCCTGGGCAGCCCATCCCAATGCCCAATCAGGCTTTTCGTTAGGAATTTCTTCCTGAAGCCCAACCTAGACTTCCCCTGGCACAGCTTAAGACTGTCGTCTCATCCTGCCGCTTGTTACCTGGAAGAAAACACCAATCCCCATCCCCTATGTCTACAAATTCTTTTAATTTGCTTTATTGAAAAATCACTTTTTCTCCTCCCAAAGTGAAAACTTAATGCATAGGAAACACCTTCCTGTCATAGCATCAGGGTCTTTTGTGGTMCAATGAACAAGGCTAATGATATGCAAAACCTTTTACCTTACTAACACTACTCATGCCAGCACTTGAGAAGGATAAATATATGCCAGTCATCTGGGAATGCCCCACTGGAATAGTGTGAAATTTTTTTAAGAAAGATGCAGTAGTAATTCTGGATTGACCTAATTTGATAACCTGATGCACATGCCTACTAAACCACAGCTTTTGCTCTTGCTTTCAGACACAATATTAATGGAATCACAGAATCAAAGAGTGGTTTGAGTTCAAAGGGTCTTTAGAGATCATCTGGTTACAACCCTCATTGCTGTGAACRGGGATAGCTTCTACTAGAACAGTTTGCTCAAAGCCCTGTCCAGCTTGGTGTTGAACAGAGCCAGGGGTGGTGCATCCACAACTTTTCTGGGCAACCTGCTCCAGTGCCTCACTCTCACAGTAAAGAATTGTGTCCTAACATCTAATCTAAACTTGCCCTCTTTCAGTTTAAAACCATTGCCTCTTGTCTTGTCACTATCTGCCTATATAAAATCTCCCTCTTTTTCCTTCTCATCAGTCCCCTTAAGGTACTGGAAGGCCATAGTGAAATGTTCCTGAAGCCTTCTCCATGCTGAACAACTTCAGCTATCTCAGCTTTTCCTTTTACTTCTCTAACTATAAAAATAACACTGGGAAAAAGGAGAGTTAGCAAGTGGTGTTGAAGCAGGGGGTGAAGATAAGACTGGGAAAAGTTCATGTAAGGAGACTGTGCCCTTGCACGCTGTGTGGAAGGGGAAGAATGCTGAGAGAGAAGGTTATGGGATTTGCCTACTAGTTTCACAAAGCAAATTAATATAGGGGAGAGTTAAAAATGTAATAGTCCAGCCACCTAATATAAGAGCTTTGCTTAGCAATAACTATATGGCCTAAAGCCCTTATAGCTCCCCCAGTTACATGGAAGGGGCAGAACACTGAGAGAGAAGGTTATGAGATTTTCCTGCTCATTTCATAAAGCAAAGCAATATAGGGAGGAGTTAAGAATGTAATAGCCTTGGCAGATGATAAAAGGACACATTTTGCTTTGCATAGCAATAACAGCATGGCCTTAAAGCCCTTATACCTTCCCTAGTTATACTTACACTTACGCTACATTTCAATGCTGAACTTTTTTATTAGCTCCCACTCACCTCTGCCTTTTAATTGTAGTTATTATTCCTCATTATTAAAGTTTTGCTGAGTTTCGTGTTTCCAGTAAGTATTGACCATCTCTGTTTCCTTCTTCATTACACCCTCTACTTTCTTCATCCATCACCTTTATGCTTCATGGCAGTCCTCTGGAAGAAGCCCTTGATTAAGTGTTGCCCTCACTTCCTGTTGTATACTCCCTGAAACCTATTAGTTGTTCTATGAGGAATCTCATTCCAATTTCCAAGGTCATGCCTGCCTTATTATGTGTTTGCTATTATCTCCTATGCTCTGTTTGTATTATGAACATACCTTTTCCCTTTGTGTACTTGCAACATACCTGAAATTTGAAAACACCCCACCACTTATCTGATGTAACCACATCTAGGTTGGAAGTGACAGGGCTGTACCAATCTAAGCACAGTGTTGACATAAACACGTAGGAGGAATTTCAGCCAAGAGTTGCAGGCTTAAACCCTACTCTTCCAGAAAGCTACCAGAGAATTTTACTGTTCATGGAGAGGARATAGGATACTTGTTTCAAAAACCTTTGTTGGAAAACCAAACACATTAAAACTGCATGGAAATTAGTGGGCAAGACTTTTTTGTAAGACCAAGTGAAAACGGCATCACAGAATTCCCCAGCTGTCACTACCAACCACAGCACTGTCACAGAGGGGAGTGAGGTTTGGAAGGAGCTACAGTCTGCTGTGCTGTAATTATTCATGCTTTTTTGAATAATCCTGTGGGCTTTTCAGTTAGAGATAYGATTTTCCCTCACTGCCTCTCTTCCTTCTTCCTATGGTGGATTTGATTTTGGAGTTCTTCAATTGTAAAAAAAAATCCTACAAAGTACATAAATCCTATAAAGTACATATAAACTTCAAGCAAGAAGACTGTGTAAGAAGCTCAAGGAACAGCTAAGTTGAAAATACCAAAGCCAGTAATTTTTAACCATGAATGGATAATGCGTTTTCTGTTTTGTTTCCAAACTTCAGTACTAAGCAATCAAATACTTATAAAGCCACTCCACTCAATCCAAATCCTCTTAAGAACAAAGAGAGCTATTTATTATTATAGCTTAGAATTAATCTGCCCTTTATATACTAGGTATAAGGCACATGGGCATTTCAAGGTTTCCAAGAACTATTTTCTCTGCTGTAAAATCTTTAATAATTCAACAATAAAGCAATGAAGGATGTATGAACACCTCAAGGAGAGCAATTTTTGCAGGTATCAGGCAGAATTCTTCAAGAAGTGCTGAAATCCAAAGTGCATTGAAAGAACACTGTGTTAGAGAAGTCAAAATAGTACAAAAGACAACTGGATAACAAACTGATAAATACACTGTACATGCAGGATGAATCAACAAAAATTGTAACTCATGTGCTATTGAAAAAAACAGGCAGTCTGTATTTTGTGGTACCGTGGTATCCTGTGAGCTTAAGAGACTGATTTCCAGAACTTCCCTTTTCACATYTATAGCTACTGTCTGTAAACACTGTGGATATACAGCCATTTTGAAAAGCCTGTCCTAAATGATCCACTGAATCTAAGGTAAAGACTAACMCCTTGAGTTCCAGGCTAGTCTTTAAACACAGGAGACACCCTTCATTGATTCACACAGTTCCAGAAGCACATGAATATTTGTGAAGCTATTCACATTCCACATTCAGTAGTACTTCCTCTAACAGACATAGCCTTAATAAAATGACATGAGAATGCTTGTTAAAGGGTAGTTTTGTGGCTTAATCATAAATCAAATGTTATGCTCCTCCCAGCCTTGTCTCACATCACTGAATTTACTGGGCTTCCAACTCCAACCCAGAAAAATCACCATGATCATTGCTTAAGCTCCAGCAGGAATATCATGACTAAGAAAAAACTGCCCTTGGGAAACTGTGTTGAGCATTATTTTTATTCAGAGTTTTAGTATTAGGTTCATCCTTGTTCATCACAGCAAGCTCAAGCTCTGTGGTATCTTTGTACCTTGGCAGACAAGGAGCATTGTCACTGTTTTTTAGGCACTGATTATCTCAGCACAGCAATTACAGAGCTATGCAAAGGGCTGTAATTTTTGGAGATGAGCTTTCAGCAGTTACCAGTTTCTTCTTTGTCATGCACTCTACCAGTGGCCTTTGTTCTGAGGATGCTGCTGACTTCTGGACTGCAGCACCCAAAGCACTGATTAAGTCCAGTTAGAAGCACTCCCCAAACCCTTCTGAGCAAGCRTTTTTTAACTTGGCCTAAGTAAGCTAAGCCAGAATGTTTCTAGCATGATCTCACACAGGGTTGCATCAGAACAGGAGTTCCCACCAGGACTGGGAATATTAGGGAAGGCCTAACAACATCCATCCTGTTATTGCTTCCAAAATTCTCATGGCAATGAGCATTGCTCTGGGGTTGTAATGGTCTTTGCATCAAAGACTCTCAAAGTCAGCTGCCATTGTCTTTTACTGTTACACCTGGACAAGAATGAGGCATTCCTAAAACGTAGCTGTAGTTGGGACAAAACATAGCTTGCATTACTTGTACAATAAGTACAATAACATACTAGTGCATGGTAACATGTTATAATGGCTCCACATGGATCTTTGTTTAAACATGAAAAACTCTAGGCAGTTTGAAAGTTGTGTAACTGAAATACGTTTCCGTCCAAAGACATAGTTTTAGCTGAATTTTGGTTCAGTTCACATCTGATTCAGGTGGTTTTTGCATCTCTTCTCAAAAGTGAGAGCACTTCCCAAGGGTAGCATGTTGTTTTGCCAGGGTGTATAGTATGTTGTTTTGGTCTCATTCAAGATAAACAGAAACAATAGGAAAARAAAAAAACGAACAGA